TTCTGCAGGGGTCCGGGTATGTCTCTGCTCCATTGGCCTCAGTGTGTTCTCACAGTGGTGTAGCCCAAACCTGTGATAAACCAGCTCAGCCTAACAGCAGTGGGATGGAGCTGCTTTCAGGTGTCTCCCAGCAGAGGCTGGCCTTGGGGCAGCTGGGCAGGACTTCTTGGTAGCTGCTGATTGTACATCGACCTTAATGTCAAGCTGGCATCGAAGTAAGTGAATCAAGACCATGGGATGAGCCAAGCAACAATACTTGGAGCACTGTGTGCACTTCTGGTGTCCTCGACATACAAAGGACATGGAACTGTTGGAACAAGTCCAGAGGAGGCCACAAGGATGATCAGGGGCTGGAGCACCTCCTGTATGAAGACAGGCTGAGGAAGTTGGGGCTGTTCAGCCTGGAGAAGAGAAGGCTGCGTGGAGACCTCAGAGCAGCTTCCAGCATCTGAAGGGGGCCTATAGGGATGCTGGGGAGGGACTCTTCATTAGGGACTGTAGTGACAGGACAAGGGGTAATGGGTTAAAACTGAAACAGGGGAAGTTTAGATTGGATCTAAGGAGGAAATTCTTTCCTGTGAGGGTGGTGAGGCACTGGAATGGGTTGCCCAGGGAGGTTGTGAATGCTCCATCCCTGGCAGTGTTCAAGACCAGGTTGAACAAAGCCTTGGGTGCCATGGTTTAGTGTGAGGTCTCCCTGCCCATGGCAGGGGGGTTGGAACTGGATGATCTTAAGGTCCTTTCCAACCCTAACTATTCTATGATTCTAAGCTGCAGTCTAGCTTAGAGGAGGAACTTCATCAGGTGTAGCTCCTCAAGGCTGATGATCAGAGAATATAACAGCATTCAGGTGGGGAGGAGCTTGCCTTCTTTGTCAGAAGCCTCTCACCGTGCAGGAGGTTGGATCTCTGTGGCTGTGTGTGAGGAAGCTGTGACCTGTCTCAGTTTATTTCCAGGACTCCAGGCTCCGGAATACACAACCAAATGTGAGTGAGGTGGACTCAATGCGAATCACTAGGCTATGGGACGCAATGCACTTCTACAGTGCTCAGTTGTCTCATGCAGACACAGCGTGCACCAGGTTTCTGCACAGTGGAATATTTAGGGAACCAGGCCCCTTTTGTGGGGGGGCAGGAATGGGTGACTGAGTCCGTGTTTGGGTGCAGTACCAATGGGCACAGTTGGGGTTCAGCTTTCCCTCGGGGTTTTGTGGCACTGCGGTAGCATGCTCAGGATGCGGTAGGATGCTGGGGGTGCCTTAGGCTGTTTGTTACAGCACTGCAGGGAAATGAGAAGTGGACGATTCCTCAAAGAAACTGAGGAACCTCAGAGTAATGAGGAGAGGCCGAAGAGGCTGTTAGCACTGGAATGGGCTGCCCAGGGAGGTTGTGAATGCTCCATCCCTGGCAGTGTTCAAGGCCAGGTTGGACGAGGCCTTGGGTGAGATGGTTTAGTGTGAGGTGTCCCTGCCCATGGCAGGGGGTTGGAACTGCATGATCTTAAGGTCCTTTCCAACCCGAACTATTCTATGATGTTCTGTGTGGGGTACCCTGTGCTGAGAAGGGCTGAAGCTTGATGAGGCACCGCGGTGTCTGCCCATTCATTTCCTGCAGCCCCAGACCCCAGATGCAGTTGGTCCAAACACCAACCTTCCCTTTCCTCAGCACCAGGGAAGTGCAGTTCAGCTCCCGGGGGATCCCGCTTTAGATGTGGCTGATGGAAGCACAGAGCCTGGTCTCTGTGCTGGTTCTCTCTGTCCCTGCTGTCTCTGTCTGCGTGCTCAGCCCAGCAGCTGTTACCAAGCACCTTTAGTTAAGGTCCTGCTTTCCCACTGTTAATCTTCACACATCACCTGGGGTTTTGGGGGCAATATTTAACAGCTGAAAGGACTGCATTGCAGTGGCCTTCAGAGTGTGCACTCAGAGAGGTTTAGGTGAAGCAGACACAGCTCATACATTTGCTTCAGATTAAACATTTCCCAGGTAAAGATTTATAGGTGATGAGAAACCTTTGGGTGCTGTTGAGTGGTTCAGTTTTAACCTGTGACGTTTACAGTGTTTAAAATAATTGTAGGCATTTCTGCTTTCCACTTTGTACGAATTCTGCATTGAAAATGTATTTAATAAGTGCCAAGACCGGTCCTGCTGCAACATCTTCATACGCTGGCTCTTTGGGTGAGAGATGGTGATGCCTAAAGCAGGATCCAAAGCTCACTGAGGCCTGGGACAATCTCCCATGCTCTGGATGAGCTGAGCAGGGTGGTCAGGAGCCTGCCACAGCTCATCAAACAGCGCTGAAATTCAGGTTCTGCAGGTCCCTGCGTGCTATTGATAACGGGAGGATGGTTTGGGTTGTTCACTGATAAACCGGCCAGCATTTGGGGTTGTACACAATAGCCTATAAATAACCACAGGTCATATTTTGTTAATATGGCAACACCATTGATGTACATAAGAAGCTTCCAAAGATGGTTTTACACACCCTTGAGTATTTTTCACTGATGAATTACTATAGCTTGTTCATTTCAAACAATGAAGGGAGATCCAGTCGAGAGCAAACACCACTGGGGGGGTCAGAGGTTTGCTGAGTGTCTGATACGTTCGCATCCAAAGCTGGTGTTGGGGACAAGAATCTCCCCGTGGGCTTTGATGGAGGGGTTTGTCATTCCTCGAGAGCACGGGATGTTTCCCTGGGTCTGGATGTACGGTTTCTAAGCTGGATACGTTTCAATGTTGGAGAACTTTGTGTATCTGAAGCTCGTTGTAAAATCCTCCCTCTGCTCCCAGGTTACGCGACCCTGGGGAGTTTGATTCCACACTGGCTATTTTCTGTCGAACAAATAAATAGCTTTTTCAGTAAAGAGGCTTTGGGCTGGTCTGTGCAGGGGCAGCAACTTCACCACTTCCTTGCCTTGATGCTGAGCCCCAGCTTGTTGTGCGAGGGCTCAGCGCTCTGCGGCTCCAAGTCCTTCTCTGCGTGTTTGGACAGAAAGCGATAGGAAGCACAAGTAAGCTCCCAGATAAGCACCCCTGAACGTTCCCTTCCTTACTCACCTGCAGGTCTTTAGCTGCTTTCTGCGTTCCAGCCAGTTTGGACAATAAGAACCAGACCGTTTGGCTGCTTGCCTGTGGGGAAGTCCCGGTGATGCCTTTAATGCCGCAGCGAGCGAGCACAGAGGTGTGTTGGGAGGAGGCAGCTCCAAGTGTGCCCGGGCTGGGCACTGGTTATTTACCCTTTCATGGAAGCTTCTCTTTCCCCTATCTCATTCCTACAAACCCCGGGCAAGCACATCCCCCTCGCTGCGTTCCTCTGCCCTTTAAATCATACTCTTACACTGATGTCTATTGCAAACACGAGGCTGCTGCTGAGCCGGTGACGAAGGAGCTGCACGCACTCCGCACCGACCGCAGAGCCTTCTCATCGCCCTGTGCGTTCAGCTTCCTCGTGCAGCCCCGACAGGCCTCTGGGATGCAGCCTCCTGTTCCTGGGAAAGGGAAGAGTTGGTAAGCGCGGAAGGGTTTGTGTCCCGGAGCGACGCTGAGGGAGAGGGTTTGTTCTCTGGTGTTTTACTGGGGAGCTTTTGGCCTCCTCGGGCACCTCTAAAGCTTGCTCTGATTTCCCGAATGCTCTTTGCTCGCTGAGGGTAACTTTGCTGGTACTTGACGTGATTCCAGCTTTGTTCTGTGTCCCAGGCGAGCGCTGTTGGAGTGCACAGAATCCGCTGATGCTGGAGACGGTTTGTGCTGCCGAGGAGCCCGGTGCAGCACCTGCATCCCGCTGCCTCCTTCACCTCTGCTGGGCCACGGAGCTGAACCTTGCTCTCGTGGCTCTTCGCTCCCACCACGTCCCACCTGTGGCTGCCACCAGTGTAAGACCTCTCCCATTGCTCTGCCCGCAGAGCAGAGCCATGGGGTGAGCTACACCAGCAAGTCCCACCCGTTTCTGCCCAGGACTGTGAGTTCTTAATGGACCGGATGCCATTAACCCCCAGCACCTCATGTTCCACGGTGCTATCCCGGCCCCCTTTGTCTGTTTGGAATCTAGAGCCATGTCTCTTCCTCCTGCAGGATGGAATCTTCAGGAAAAATGCATGTGGAGACATGGAATAAAGATCTCCAGGGGTGTTTCCATGGAATTAGCGTTTCCAGCCCTATCCATGGCATCATTGAGAAGAGACAGCTCCACACACGAGGTTTTTGAACATTACCTTTATTGTGCACACCTGTAAAACTGTGGCCTTTCAGGGAACAAGCACAATCAGCCTGTGCTGAAAATCACTCGGGAATCACTTCTGTTTGCGTTCTAGGCTCAGACCCTCCTGGAGCACTCCCCATCCCTTCGGGAAGCACCGAGGCAGCTCCAGCGCTGCTCCATATCCCACGGCGAAGACGCTGAAGAGCCCATGGGAGTTTTAGGGCTGAGAACAGCTATTTTGGGTGTGCTCCTGCTATATATAGAGCCTGGCAAGCGCGCAGGGCTGGGACGTGTTGCTTTTGTTGCTAAAAACAGCATTTGGGAAGCCCGTTTTAGGCAACTGCTGCTGTCTGTTGCCAGCAACGCTAACCAGGTGCTGCGCGCCCGGGCTCTGTCCTGGCTCCAGCATGAGGAAAGCCACTGTAAGTGCAGCACGTGCTTGAGGAGCTGCTGGTACCTCCCTGGGAGCTGCAGGGCTGCTTCCTACTAAGGAGCTTTTGCCTCCTGGGGGAAGCTTGCAAACCTAATTACACACTGGGTGTTGGAGCAGGCGCTGGAGACCTCAGGTGGCACCGGATCCTGTCCCGTCATGCAGGTGAACCACAGGAGGGTCAGGATTCCAGCTGAGCCCTGCCTGCCCTCTGCAGACTGATCCCAGGACACGAGTGCACTGTGAAGCAGGCAAGTAGGCAGTGGTTTAAAGCGCTGCCTCTAGGTAGGTTGTGCTTGGCTGGGGTGGAGGGAGCGTGGCAAACGACAGCACCAGAACTGGCAGCTCCCAGCAATGAGACTCTATGGACCTGACCCGGAGCTGGCAGGAGGGTCGAAGAGCCCGGGTGTTAGCACTGTGTTATTCCCATCTTTCTGCTGTGATTCCTAAGCTACTCCTGCCACCATCATCCTGGGTAACTCACAAGCGGGGCTGCGGTGAGCCGGCCAGCTTCCTCTCCTGGAGGATGCTGCCAAAGAGCCTGGCTGCTGCCATGGCACAGCCCCAGTGGATGGTGATCCCGAACCCACCGTGCCCGTAGTTGTGTATCACCTGGGGGAGAAGAGGAGGGATCGGTGCTGGGAAAGCTGTCTTTAGACTGACCCTTCAACCTCCCAGTGAGCACTCGGTGACCCTCTGCTCCATCCTTCCCTCCAAAAGCTGCCGGAGAGGCAGGAAAACACCGAACGCACCCGGTTAGCCAGAGCTTGGAGCAACCCGCTCTAGCGGAAGGTATCCCTGCTGGTGGCAGGGGGGTGGAATTGGATGAGCTTTAAGCTCCCTTCAACCCACAGAATCCCAGTGTGGGATTCTATGGCACTGGGCTAAAACTGGCCCGAAGATTCCCCTGGTATTAGAGGGGGGATGAGTGAGGAGTGATGAAGGTGGGGCTGAAGCCCCGCAGCGTTAGCTGGGTTCCCAGTGAGTGATGCGCTCTCAGTGCAGTGCTTAACGGCACTGGGCAGCGGGGGTACCTGTGCCTGGAGCTGCCCGTGGCCGATGCTCTCCCGCTCCAGGCGCACCCGGGGCCGCGCTGGTCTCAGGCCGCTCCATTCCCCCACGATCTTGGCTTCCTGAAAGCAAAAGCCCAGCAGCAGCCGGGGGCGTCTGCCTGAATTCCAGCAGCCAAACGGCCCAGCCCGAGGGATCCGTGAGGGGAGGGCCCTTGCAATGGATGGGGACGGGGGCTCCCGCATCCCTGCTGCTGCACCAGCCCCAAGGGTGCTCAATGAATCGAATTGAGAAGGGTGCATGGAGAGCTCAGAGCAGCTTCCAGCGTCTGAAGGGGGCCTATAGGGATGCTGGGGAGGGACTCTTCATTAGGGACTGCAGTGACAGGACAAGGGGTAATGGGTTAAAACTGAAACAGGGGAAGTTTAGATTGGATCTAAGGAGGAAATTCTTTCCTGTGAGGGTGGTGAGGCACTGGAATGGGTTGCCCAGGGAGGTTGTGAATGCTCCATCCCTGGCAGTGTTCAAGGCCAGGTTGAACAAAGCCTTGGGTGCCATGGTTTAGTGTGAGGTGTCCCTGCCCGTGGCAGGGGGGTTGGAACTGGATGATCTTAAGGTCCTTTCCAACCCTAACTATTCTATGATTCTATAACTGTTCAGGGGCAGGTTGGGCACAGGGGATTGGAGCAAGCTGCTCCAGTGGAAGGGGTCCCTGCCCGTGGCAGGGGTCGGAACTGGATGAGCTTTAAGGTCCCTTCAACCCAAACTATGGTTTCAAACCAATTCCATGGTTCTATGCTGCAAGGGGTGACTGGGCAGAGCAGTTTCAGATCACATCACTGTGCCAAAGCCTTGCGCTGCCTTCCCAGCTGATCCACGGCACAACAACAGCTCGTCACCAGCAATTCCTTTCTCCTACAGGTCTTGCCTCAAGGGTAACGCCAGCCCCAGATCCAGCAGCAATACGGGGTGCTGGGTGCATTCACCCACCTGCAGAGTGGGCAGCAGCCGGCAGCAGCCCTCCCAGATGGTTTTGTGGTCCTGGGCGCTGTTTGCTTCGTTCCAGTTGCCGTGCTGGTAGATCCCTCCCAGCACCGTGAACTCGCTCCTGCACCGAAAGCCAAGGAGGTGACAGTGGTGAGTGCCCCATCCAGGACTCTGTGACTGTGGATCCTGCTGTACCCCGAGCCTGCACCCTGCTCCTGCGGGAGGAGCTCGCACCGAGCAGGCAGAGCGGTGCCCCTGTGTCTGCTCGTGAGCAAGGCAGTCAGTAAATGCTGGCAGCATTGAAATGCCCTGGCCTGGGCCAACCCCAGGAGCTGATTTCATCTCCTATCAAACAGGACTGCTCCTGCCTGGCTGGGGGAGAGCTGGGAGGAATGGGACGGCACCGGTGGGCACACAAAGGAATGGATTTCTGCTGCTCCAAACTGTGGATTGACAGAGGACAAGAGGTGGGTTCAGGCTGGGGTGGCCGTACCTGCTGGACCCTTCTAAAGCCGTGCTTGAGCCCTGGGAAGCACAAGGACAAGGGGATGGATGAATGTGGGTGTGCAGGAGCAGAGCCCCTGGGTCCTGGACTCAGCCGCTTCCTTTGCGTTCCAGCCCTATGCCCACTGATGGCAGCTCAAGCTGTAATCAGCACAGGGAGAGGAATCTGGGTGTAGCCAGGACTGTGATCAGGAATTGTTTGGAATGCTTTGCCTGGGGGCTCCTATTTGCAGAATGGCTCCTTGCCCATCGCCTACCCCGGGATGATGTACGGTGAGTTGTAGATCCCAGATTCCATGTCGTGAGTGATGATGAAGTGCTTCACCCATGGAGCCAGGACCTGGGAGACGAAGGGGAGAGGGGCAGGAAGAGCTGGAGAAGAGGGTGCCTGGCTCAGGAGGCAGCTCAGTGACACACGTGGTGACATCCCTTCTGCTCCAGCTCCATGTACACTGCGGCACTGCCTTCCCTGCCAGGGAGAGGGGAGGGCAGGCAGGCAAGGGGGGGCTTCCTCCCTGGGTCTGTTTCGCCAGATAATCACCCTCTTCTCCCAAGGATTTCATGTGTTTTTATCATTAACATTGCACCTCTGGCCTCCCCAGACCTGAACCAGGAACAGAATCCGTGTGTTCTGCTCTGGCCTCCACACGCACGAGGCTTCTACATGAGCAGGGTTTGCTGGGGTTCAGGACCTGACCCCAGCGTGGCTCCAGGCCCACAGTTAACACAGAGGAGGCTCCCCCCATCCCAGAGCACCCTCCTCACCTTTATGACCTGTCCCCGGCCGGGCTGGAGCTCCGGGTCAGGCTGCAGCTCCCCTGCACGCACCCCGGTGCAGTTGATGACAACATCCACGCCCTGGGCAAACATCTGCAAGAGACAGAGGTGGAGGTGCTTGGGGTGGTACCCACGAGGCCCCTGCGGCACCGCCAAGCCCAAGCACTCGCTCCAGTGGTGTGGGTGTGGGTCAGCCATAAGGGCTGGATCCAGGGCATGGCTTCTGCTGAGAGTGGGTGCAGTTTTAGGGCACGCCGTAGTGTCGATGCTTGCGCTGCCCCAGCCTCTCTCAGCCATCACTTGTTGCACAGGAGTCTTTATCCTCCCCGGTGTCATTTGTTTCCTGCATCCACCCACTGCCCCTTCTCACCATCACCACTCACCTCCTGGAAAGACCCAACCTTCTGATGGAAAAACTTCACTCCCCTCTCTGTTAACCTGGGAAGAACAAGACCCTTTGTTGCTGACAGATTAAAAGCCAACTGGTGCCTGTAACTGATACCCAGGTATGGTTTGTTGCTCCTTGCAATGAACATCCGTGGTCCTTTTGGTGGCTCCTAATGATCTCCAGCTGTTAGTTCATGTCCCTAATGGCCCAGAGCTACTGACTGTGGTCAGTCCTGCTGAGCCCTGCTGCAGATCGGGCCCTGCTCCATGGTAGCAGTGACAAGAACAAAATCAAGCCCTAAATACTCCCATAGCTGAAAGCACCCAGGTGCAGCTCTAAGTGTCCTGTAACTGCTGCCCAGAGAAGCTGTGGCTGCCCCATCCCTGGCAGTGCTCAAGGCCAGGTTGAACCCAGGGGCTTGGAGCAAGCTGCTCCAGTGGAAGGGGTCCCTGGATGAGCTGGATGAGCTTTAAGGTCCCTTCCAACCCAAACCAGGCTGGGATCCTGGGATAACCTTCACGTTTGTCATGCTCCAGGGCTCTATCAAACTGAGGAGGCAGTGAGCAGGAATTCCAGCCCCTTTTCCCTGCTTCCCAGGGTGCCTCCCCTCTGCCCTGGCACCGTGGTGGCTCGGCACTGACCTGTTGGTGAGCCAGGGCAGGTACCTCCTGCACTCCAGCATCAGCGCCGTGTTGAACCAGCCGTAGCTGAAACCAGAGGAAGCCATAAGGACCGACAGCACCTTTACGTGAGCATCCCCCTCCCAGTGCTCCCGGCATCCACTGCAGCTCTGGGACCCCGGTTCCCCTTTGCACAAGTGTGTGGCTTTTCCCCTCTGCTTACAGCATAAAACACCTTCTGCTGGTTTTGTTCCCCCCCGTTTGGCTGTGTCTGGTGAGCTAAGAGAGGGGCTGGAATGGCTTTCATGCTGGGCTGGGCTTTTTTAGGCTGTTTTCAGTGTTTCCTACTTATTCCAAGGGAAGCTGTAATGAAGAAAGGCCTCTCCTGTGCCTGCCGTTTCCCATCCTTCCTGCCCGGGGACGGGGAGGGTCCGGGACCATGCAGCCATTCCTGCCCATCAGTGCCTATGAGGAGAACACACCAACTACCTGTAACCAGGGAAGAGCTCAAGCTCCTTGGGTGTCAGGTTCCTGAACCCCAGGACAATGTCCTTCCAAGAGGGGTCCTGCGGTAGGGAAAAAGGTTGTTCATGAACCTGGATCACCGGGATTCAGTGGGGATTCACCCCAAGGCAGCCGTCACGGCTGGCTCCCACCCTCGGGGGCTCAGCCCCTACTTCACACCAATACAGCACTGGGGCACAGGAGGCAGTGTCCTGAGCAGCCGTTTGAGGGCTTGAACCTGCCCGAGGGGAGACTGAGCTGAGCTCTTAGGCAGAAGCTCTTCCCTGTGAGGGTGCTGAGGCGCTGGCACAGGGTGCCCAGAGAACCTGTGGCCGCCCCATCCCTGGAGGTGCTCAAGGATACAGGGGCTTGGAGCAAGCTGCTCCAGTGGAAGGGGTCCCTGCCCGTGGTTGGAGCTGGAGGAGCTTTAAGGTCCCTTCCAACCCAAACCAGGCTGGGGTTCTGTGATCTGGAAGCGTTCAGAGCATCCTCTGGGAAGAAGCACAACCCCTGGAGCCGTTCCCAGCCCTCCTGTGACTTGCTCCATACCGGCACCGGCTGCCTGAACAGGTTATAGCCAGAGACCAGGAAAAGTCCCATTTCCTTCGCCGCTGGGGAGCCCAGGAGCCCCAGGAGGTGATCGAACGTCTCCTTATTCCAGAGCCTGCGATGGAAACAGCAAAGTGGGGGCTCTGCCAGCGCCATGGAGCTGAGCCCGGGTGGCTCAGCCCCTCGTGCACCCGATGGGACACGGCACCCGCCTCCTCCTCCTCCTCCTCACTCACGTCTCCTGCAGGTCACCACGGTCGCTCAGGTAGGGCTGCCACAGGCCGGCCGCCCCATCGCTGGTGGTGTGGGGTGTGCAGCGGTCGGCATGGACCTCCAGCTGCAGGGAGGGCAGGAGGCCGTGGAAGCGCTCGTGGATGCAGAGCGCGGTGGAGAGGCCGATCACCCCCGCGCCGATGACGGCCACGCGCATGGCGCCGGCTCCCTGCGGCAATGGCAGTGGTTGAAGGGCAGCGCCGGGGAGGCAACAGCTCCTGTGGGACCTGACCCTGCTGTAGGGATGGGACTGGGCCGCTCCTGTGCGCCCAAGCACTGGCACCATCTCCTGTAGGGTGCTGTGAGCTCTCCATTCCCAGCAATGACCCAGCTTGCTCCGGGGAGTTCCTAATTCTCCTCAGCTCCAGCATGGGCTGGACACACAGGAGGCTGGCACAGATAAAAGACATGGAAACCAGCACGTGTTTTCCAGGGAGCAACGCCAAGTGCATTAAGTGCAAGGAGAGCTCCTCGCATCCCTGCCCTCGCGTGCTGTGGCTGTGCCACCACCCCCAGACCCTTCCCAGCCCCGGCTCTTTGTAAATGTGGGTGCAAAGAGGGTCTGCACCCCCTGCCTGTTCCCTCTCAATGGAGCTTCCCACCTTGCAGCCTGGAAACAGCCCTGTGGGCACCGTCAGGGCAGAGAGCGGCCAAGGACCGAGTTCAGGAAGGGATGGGGTGCGATGGTGTGGATCGCATCCCTGCCAGCGGGTGGCTGTGGGAGGGATGCCAGCAGCACGCCAGACTAAATTCCAGCCTATCACTTTAGTTGGGCAAGGTGAAGCGCAGGCAGCATCTCTGCTGTGGAAGGCAGCCCGCAGAGGGACTGGCATTTGCTGGGATGAAGGGATGAGTCATGGGGATGTAACAGCGCCAAAGGCAGCAGGAAAGCCGTATGGCTTCCCATCTGCTCTGGTTCTAGAGCCCATGGCCAGCAGGAACCGGGGCTGCCTCCGCTACCTGCAGCCACGGGGGCTGGCCCAGGCTGCCCCTGCAGCACCAGCTGAGGCGTTCTCCATTCCCTTAACTGGGGACCCGGGCTTCCAGCAGCTTACCTGCAGCGTGCGGGGACCCTGGGGCAGGAACTGCGGGGTTTGGAGGCTCGGACAAAGCCGCCTTCCCCAGGAGCCTGTTTGCAGCCCTGCAGAGCAAGGTCCAAGTGCCGAGGGCAGCGGGATCACAGCACGGCCCCGAGCAACGGGGCCAAAGTCCCGGCTCCAGGACCGGAGCCCAGAGCCGCTGCTCTGAAGGGAAAACGGGGTCACGGCGGCGTTGGCATTGTCACCATGGATACTGCTGCCTGTCCTGCTGGATGGGGACAGCCCAGGCACCGGGCTCCTGCGGGAAAAGGGGATGCCTCGCACTTGGGTTTTGCGTTGTAAGACAGAAAAGGCATCGCCTCCCTGCCGATGGACCCCAGGAGCTGCCCAGCTTCCCCCTCTCAGGGGTCACAGGGCTTCGTTTCTCATCTCTGAGCTGCCTTTCCCTTCACAAAGCCCACAGCGTTGGGCTGAAAAGCCAGCTTTCTGCTGGTGTGGGTACCATTAGGAGGGGAGGCAGCCCTGGAGGTACACGTTGTGCTTGGGCAGAGCTGCTGCAATTGTGGGTTTTACCGTGCCTAAAGCTTTTATAGAAGAGGCCGCAAGGATGACAGAAACAGGAACTCATCTCCTGCACAGCCGGCTCGCAGCCGTGTCTCGGGAGTCCTGGGCCCAGGGTTTCACCCGTGCAGAACAACCCATTGCGAGGGATGGGGACTCGCTCCCGCAGAAGGCAGAGGAAAGGCAAGGGCAGGCACACACCGTGAGCAGAGGGATGCTCTGCCCCAGGAGAGCAGCAGGGACGGCCCCTCTGCAGACCCCTGTGCTTCACACACCCGACACCTTCAATGCTTTTGGTAGCATTTCCCACCCGGAGCATCGCTGTGCCAGGGGCTCCGGTGTGAGCAACCCCATCCAGGCTGGCCCCAAAGGATGGCAGCAAACCCAGAGCCTGGGATCCCGCTCTGGCTGCCACGAAGCAGATGGGTTATCCACAGCATCCTCTGGGATGCTGCCAGCCCAAACCACCTGTGCAAGCGGTGCATCCCGTGGGATGCAGGGGGAGAGGCAGTCCCCCAACAGCCTGAACGACCGCAGGCTTCCCACCCACACCAAATACCCCACTGCTGGTCTGCCTCTTGCGTTGGGCACCGCTGACCCCTCGCTCCGGTTTAGGGGCTGCTGCACCCCGAAACCCTTCGGCTGCTTTACGGGGGAAGCTCAGACCCCACCGACGCTCATTGGGGTGGTGGGAACCGCGTTCCTCCCGCTCCGGGACTCGAACCCGGGTCCCTGAGAGGCGGCTCCGCCCCGGGCCCGCCCCTCCGCTGGGCCGTGGCCGGCCGGGCTGCGCAGCCGCCGGGGCGGTGGAAGGGGCCGGAGCCCCGCAGCAGCCGCCGTAGCCGGGCCCTGCCGCCGCCGCCATGGCGCTGGTCACGCTGCAGCGCTCGCCGACTCCCAGCGCCGCGTCCTCGGCCAGCACCAGCGAGGTGAGCCGGGCCGGGCCGGGCCGGGCCTGGGGACGGGGAGCGGGGCGGGACGCGGCCCCTCAGCGCCTCGGCTGGGCCCCGCGCAGCGCCTCACGGCTCCGGGCCCCCTGCTCCTGGCTCCCGGCTCCCGGCTCCAGCCCCTCACGGCCCCCGCTCCCCACATCCCTCCGGCTCCGGCCCCTCACGGCCCCCGCTCCCCACATCCCTCCGGCTCCAGCCCCTCACAGGCCCCGGCCCCTCGCCGCCCCCCGGTGCCGCCTCAGCCCGCAGCCCTCCGCTTCCTCCAGGCTGCCTGGGGCCATCTCCCCGCTCTGCCCCGTCCCCTCCTCGCCCCTGTACGTTCCTGTTCCCCATGGCCGTGCCCTGCTCCAGCCCCAGCCCGAGCTGCTGAAGCCCGGGGCAGCCGCTTCGCTCTTCCCTGCCCGGTGAATCCCCGGCAGCGCCCTGGGCCGGCCTCCATGGAGCAGCGCTGCTTGCTGGCCCCTTGGCTGCGGGCATTCCCCTTCCCTGGACCCCGCACAGCCACTGCCCCCAGCCCGGGGATGCTCCGCTTTTCCCCTCTGTCCCTGTGCTGCAATGGCACCGCCTCCCCACAGCTGCTGACCCATGCGGAGCCCTTCCCCATGGTGCTGGAGCAGCTCCAGTCCCCACCCCATACACCCCATCCCTGTGTGATGTTCCCTTGCTCCCCCACGCTGCCGCTCTCTTCTCCTTCCCAGCTCTGCTGCTCTGGGGCCCTGTATGTGCTGCGTACCCCACTGTGCCCATGGTGCTGTTCTCCGCACATCCCTGCCCTGATTGATAGGGCAGGCAGCGGAGCGTCCCAGCTCTGCTGCGCACCCCTTCCTGCTGTACCCCAGGACCACCATCTCCTGCCTCTGCCCGGCTTTGGGGGGGTGTGTTCCCTCACCACAGCTCCCAGGTGCCATGCAGACACAGCTGCACCCCGTGTCTGTTTTCCTTCATCCCCTGTTTTCCTCCTGACCCTCCAAGACAAGCCCGGTGTCCACCTGCGTATCCTTCCCTTGCATCCCGCTCCCTCCCGCCCCTCTCCCTTGATGCTGCTGCCCTTGGCTTGGCTCTGTCCCCTCCCGCCAGGTAAACAATCCTATTTGTCACCTGTCAGGTCCCTGTGACTCCCCCGATTAGCTGCTCCGCGGGGGGGAGCAGGAGGGAGATGCTGCCCGAGGCTGCAGGTTCTCCCGTGGGATTCCCTTGGGAGACGTGACTCATCCCTTCCATTCCCAACTGGCGCGTGTAGATCCGTGTCCTGTGGTTTGGGCTCTGAGGCTGCAGGGACCCGGCGCTTGGGCCACGCTGTGTTGGACACAGGACTTGGGCTTTCCCAAGGGTTTTTTCAGAAGGAATTTTGTTGGAGTCTGGTTTAGAGGCTTAAATGAGCCCCAGTGGCCACCTGATCACCACAGGTGTAAATGGGCTGTAACCCTCTTGCAGGCAGTGGAATTGGACTGGGCTTAACTGGTGCAGGTAGGAGAGGTGCCTTTTGCTTCATCACATTCATCTGCCTCGGGCAGCACATCCTGTACGAGCTCTGTGCTACCTTTCCCCTTCCCTCTTGAAAACACTGCCCCGGACTTGCTCAGGTGTGCTTGGGTGGCTCCCAGAGGAACATCAGCTCCCATTCAGTTGAAGTGGTCCCTTCTGGCCTGAAACACCACACAGCTATAAACCATCCCTTTCCCCAGTTCGGCGTGTTGGCTTTGCAAAGTTAGTTTGCAACCCCACCACCAAGTGCCAGGCCTGCTCCTTTATGGTGCTGCTTGCAAGGAGAATCAGGGCTCTTTGTGCCTTTTAGCCTGTGTGAAGTGACTGGCGGATGCTTTAGGTGGGAGATGCTAACCATGTGTCCTTGCTAACTGTGAGAACGCTCCTGCAGCCTCAGCTCATGAGCCTGAAGGAATTCATAAGATGGATGCTGCTGCCTGGAGAGGCTCCTTCTGCGTTAACGTGGTGTAAATTTGGAGGAGCAGAGAGGAGTTCTTACACACTTGCACACACTCACTAGCTCTGCTGCCACCTCCCTTCTGCACCACCTCCTGCTCATGCCAGGTCTGTTACCCTGACATCCTGCACTGTCTGTGCTGTGGTGGGGTCCGTGGTGTGGGTCCACAGCATCGCTTGTGCGATGCGCCGTGAAACTCAAGAGCTGGGCAGGATGCAAGGTGGACACGCTCAGCGTGGCAGCGAGCAGCAGGGGTCTGCCGTGGCTGGTTTTACTGCAGCTTTGTAATAGGAAATACAGGGAGAGCCGAGCCTGAACTCAAGTTGGCTTCTGCAGAGGGTGAGCCTGCAGCAGCTCCAGGGGCTGGCTCTGCTGCTGAGCCTCAGCTGACAATGATCAAGACTTCCCATCCCATTTGTTTAAAACCAGCTTTTCCTCCCCTTGTTGCTCCGTGACAGAGCCAAACAAACAGGGGCTGACCTTACAGAGGCCAAAATCCTGATGGAGCATCCCTGGGCTGAGGGGATCAGCTCTTGGGGGGCAGTGGGGCTTGGGGTGCTCACAGGGCCCTGCGCTGCTGCTGCACAGTGTAAACAGACTAAAAATAGCCCTGGTATGTGCTCACCATCAGCTGCAGACGTTCTGCATGGGTTTGCTCTATCTCCTTCCCTCCAAACAGCCATCGTTCCAATATCCGGCCCCTGCCGTTGCATCTGGGGTTTGTTTCCTGGCTTCCTTTGGTTCTTGCAGATCCTAAGCTGAGCAGCTCCTGCACCTCGGCGTGGGGAACAACCTGAGTTCTTACACACACAGAACTGCAGGCTTGCTTTATGTGAAACTGTTTGCTTATGTTTCACTTCTGCAAACCCACCTGGAAACAAGTCACCCTTATGGTGGCCCTTGTTTGATGTGGGGTTTGAGTAGTGGTGTAGTAAATACCAAAGTGTTTCCCGAGTGCTGATGGAGCATCATTTCTTGAAGGCTTCCATCCCTCCAGCTCTGCTGTGTTGCAGCTTTGAGGGATTTCCCATTGTAGGGTGATCTGTTAGATCCCTGCTTTACTTCTTGGGTCTGAACCATGTCCCTGGTGCAACTCTGCCCTCCGAGGGGATGCTCGTGGCCCTTCCTCCTCTGTCTACTCACCCAGGACCGAAGGAGGAGGAGTGTTTTGAGCCTTTGTTTTTCAGTCGGCTCTGGATGCAATTAGCTCCAGCTCTGTTTTCCTTTCAGAAGGAATTTTGTCCAGAAACTAATAGAGAAGTTGAAGGGGGTGGCTGGAAAGCGCGGCTGTGTGAAATTGGTTCTGAGAGGAGGCTTAATGCAGCTGGCATGCTTCAGTTTAGGGAGAATAAATAAAGTGTGAGGGCCAGTGAGGCAGTTCTGCAGCCAGATTTGCTCCTAAGGGGACTTTCCACCGGTGCCCAGTGAAAAAGTGGCTGTTTTGATCCGTGTCTGCCATCAAAGCTGTGTGTTCATCAGCAAGGCAGCAGACATAGGGCTTGTTGGTGACCGGGCGACCATCATCCTGTGTCGGGATGCATCTTCTGCTAGCATTCGGGCAGCTTGGAGGTGGCAGAGGGGTCCCTGAGGAGCTGCCTATCGGTGCCGGGTTGGGGTTCGGGTACCGGAGGTTGTGA